ATCGATCCCATTATTTCACTTTGTTTGTTTTCTGTTTCATTCGTACCCTATTTGCTTTAATCGCAACCTGGCTCCTCACATTTGACTGGTTCGATTGCAGCGTGTGCAAGAATATCTCATCCAAACGCATATTCTTCCGTTCAGATTTGTTGAATTACGCCTACGGTCACACTTGGCTTTTGTTTTCAAGTTGTTCCGAGAGCACTTTGAGGTTTCTACAGATTGTCTTTGCTTATGTGATTATTTATTAATGCAGTACCGAGGAAACTTTCTGTATCGTTCGTTTTGTTGACGTTTTGAGGTCCAATTTCGTCTGCGCGTTACAAGATAATCTATTTGGGTGGCACAGTACTTAAATTTGTGCAACTTGCAACATGAGAAAGTTGTTCGAACAAGGAAGTATGGAGGAGGAAGGACAGGGAGTAATCCGGCAATTCACGGGAAATTTCGGGGAAGGGACTGATTTTCATATGCATCGTTCGGTTAGTTCCGTTGGTGTTAGAAGTTCATGTGCCCTAGATTGTGATTGTAATTGTAGAGTTAGAGCAGGAGATTTGAGCAATGAAGAGTATGGAAGCAAAGGCTACGTAACCTTGTTTGACAAAGCATTGCGCGACCGGAAAACAAACTCTGCTCATTATACTGAAGCCGAAATAGATTCAACCACCGATCGAAGTAATGTACCGCCACCCGTCGATAGACCTGCCCTAGGTGAAGCTAACGCCATTCGACGGGAACCCCAGTACCCACAGGAGATTCATTAGCGAATTTAATATTTTAGTATAGTACAGAGTCGCCGATCCAAGGCATAAGTTTCTGTACCTAACGCATTATTGCCGCGGGAAGGCTCGGGACGCTATCGAAAAATGTGTTATGCTACCAAACGAGCTCGGGTATAGCCGAGCAAGGGACTTCCTGAAGGGACTTCTTGGCCAACTGTTTCACGTGGCACGGACGCTCATATACGGGGTGCTGACCGAGGCCCGTAAGATGAGAATTGAGCCCGAAGTGCTGGTGCCACTGGTTATGAAGATGAGAAAATGCTTCAATGCCCCGACTTCAATTAGTTACGAGAAGAATTTGAATGCCCTACACACCCTAGAAGCAATAGAACGATGCCTGCCGGATGGTATCCAAAAGCGATGGGCGGATGAGGTGGTGATTATCGGCCGTTTAGGGAGGGAACCGAACTTCACCGAACTGACGGAATTCATCCGTAATCGTGCCAAGATTGCCAGTAGTCGCTTTGGACCACTCGCCAGCAAAAGTAGGCGAGAAGAGAGAAACCACGCCAAGGAACGAACCTACGATATCCCGGGAAGCTCTAGAAACGCAAACAACTATGCAACAGTAGGGGAACGTGGCACACACAGATGCCTTATGTGTCGTTCAAATCACGAGTTATCCGAATGTGAGAAATTTGTACAACTGGGCTTTCCGGACCGTTGGGAAGCAGCCAAGAGGCATGGCGCGTGATTTAACTGGTTGGGCGGCTCACATCCTGCGGGTAATTGTAGCAATGTGGTACATGCGGTAAAAATCGGTGCCAATGAAGCCAACATAACCTCTTACATTCTTTACGAGAAACGCAGTTACCGGCAACCCTAAGACCCAGCGTATGTCTACTATCGCAATCAACGGGCAAGAAGTGCATCTCGGGGTAACACTAGTCGGCATACTAACTCCCAGCGAGTAGTGAAGGCGATGGCATTTATTAGCAATGGATCCGATACCACCCTAATCACTAAGCGTTCCATTGTAAAGAACAATATCGCAACCCGGCCATCTTCCCTGACGTTCAGCATGGTGAACAGTACCAAGGCTACTTCCGCCGATCAAACGAGATTGACGTTAGTGTCGCTAAATAGTAGTAAACCCGTAGAGGTGACGGAGGCTTTCACCTTAGCCAACTTTCCAATGCGAGCAGTGGAATCGATCGGGGAACTAGTAGCGCGCTGGCCACACCTGAGAGATTTACATTTCGAAGAAGCTAACTCTCCCGAAGACGATTTGTTGATAGGAAGTGACGTACCAGAAGTGCACTGGTGCTGAACCAGAGACTCGGCGGCAGGAAGAAACCCTACGCTGCTCGCACCGTTTTCGGGTGGACATTATTTGGAACTCCTAATTCGGCCAGCCGCAAACCATTGTCAGTTAACTTCATCACCACCACCGCTAGCGACGGTATGATCGAAAAAACCCTACAACGGATGTACTATAATGTGTTCGACGACTTGAGCGACCAGAAAGGGCCTCTCTTTAGAAGATAACCAGACCTTAGCTATAGTCGAAACGGGGACACGCTGTCAGCCCGATGGGTTCGATGCGCCGTTACCATGGTGAATAGGATATGCCCTGTTGCCGAACTACCATGGGATAGCCCTAAAAAGATTGGAGTACCTTAAAAGGCTACTGGTCCGGGACGCAGAAATATATCGACAGTACGCCGCAGCAATGTAACGGAAAGGGCAACTGGGATGTATCGGACGAGCGGACTTGTCAAAAACAACGCGGGAACGGCTGTGGTACTTGCTACACCACCCCGTACCGGACCCCAGAAAGTCAGGGAAGATACGCGTGGTATTTGATTGTGCTGCGCGATACGGCGGTCCCCCTTCAATGAGTGCCTGTTACAGGGACCACATTGGATCACCCCCATGATGGACGTACTCAACCGATTCCGACTAGTAGAGGCTGCAGTGACAGCCGATAAATAGGAAATGTTCGTCCAAGTTAAGATACCAGAAGATCAACGAGACACCCTGCGACTACTATGGTGGCCTGAAGATGACGTACAGAGCCCAGCAGTGGATTACCGACCGGTCGTGTATCCATTCGGAGCAGCTTCCTCGCCTTTCGGAGCAAAATACGCCCTCCGACCGACAGCTTCACAGCACGGAAGCAAACCCCTGCCTCGGTGTCAGCCAGGTTGGGAATCACTTCTACGTCGCGCCTTTGATGACGCAAGAGAAGCTTTACAAAACGTAGCGCAACTAAAACCCTACTGGAAAGGGGGGGTTAGCTTAACCAAATGGTTGTCCAATTCACGTTTAGTTTTAGACAACGTTTCCAAAGCCGACAGAGCGAGTGGGGCTGTCAACCTGACTACACAGCCATTCCTTATCGAGCCGACCTCGGGAGTTCGATGGAGAGCAGAATCAAACAAATTAATCTTCCAACTTTAACTAAACAAGAGAAACTCCATCCGGCGAGGGCTCCTATCGTCGGTCTACAGTTTATATGACCCGCTTGGATTCGTTGCGCTGTGGCTGTTACCAGAGAAGGTCCCTCTACAACATCTATGTCGAAAAAGGGCGGAGTTGGATTAACCATTAGAAGAGCAGGACCGGGTATATTCGGAGCAATGGTGAACAAGCCTGGCCAGGCTGGGTGAGATACGGATCCTACTCCGATTCACCCGAAGCAGTCAAGTGACAGAAACCGAATAGCACCTAATCTCCGACGTGTCTGAGACAGGATACGGGGCAGTAGCCTACGTATGATGGCTGCATGTGGACGGTGAGAGCAAGACTAAACTACTTTTCGCCAGGTCAAGGGTCGCTCCATTGAAAAACGAATCGATACCCCGCCTCGAAATGACCGCGGCCGTGCTAGCTGTACGCATAGTAAAGCAGCTGCGACAGTGTTTCAGTATATTCGACGAACGCGTCACGTTCTGGACCGACTTCGCCAGTGTAATGAACTACGTGAACAGCGTCAGCGCTATGTTTAACACCTTAGTTTCCAATCGACTGACGGTGGCGCTCGAAGGAACCAAATAGCACCAATTGCCATATGCCAAAGCTGTGGACAACCCAGCCGCCCACTGCTCCCGGGGCTTGAGATCAGTGGACAAATTACTGGA